GGTTGCACGATGCTGTTGTTTACCGTCTGGCAATCATCTTTGACCTTTAAGCATCCACGCTCATCAATCATGTGAAAGCACAGTGCGGACTGTGGTGAAAGTTACCATTTAGCAAGTTCTGGTTGTTGGAATGTCTCACTATGGTTATCCGGTGGGCTTGAAATAGGAAGAATTTTTTTTCTCCAAACAGAAGAATAATTTCCACGACAGAAACCCAATAGCTGTGATGAAAGAAGGCAAACAAGTTGGCAGTCTTCGGCGTGACATTGCAAAATTGCTGGCCCAGTTATGGATCCGCAAGCTGCTAGCAAATATTTTATTAAGCCAAAACAACATGCTTTCAACCAACTCTCCCAGGTATGGGTTATTACAATATTGCAACATCGGTTTTATTGTCGATGTTGCTAAAGCTGAATGAGTGCGACACTTGCTTCGTGGCTCTCCATATGCTGTAAGATTTGCATGAATCGTTTCTAAGGAAACACAAACCAAATGGCCCTTTTCGGGGCTACGACATACTTCAAAAAGAGAACTACCGTTTTTGCTTTAATATATCTTTTTGTAGCCTTGCCTACTGTTATGATTCTGATGAAAAATCTTGAAAAATAAATGTAAACAGCGGCGAACACGCTGCCCTTGAGGCATAACGCGAAACTACCAGAAAAGACCCCCTGGGCGTATGCCCGGATATGACCTCAACTTCTTTATTGTATCATAATTGGGGTGTGGACATTTACCCAGGCATGGGCGCTTACCCGGATAAATACGGTATATAAAATGATCATACACTACACACTACATGTTTAATGATATTTATATTTCTTGTTTCCCAGGAGCAATATGAGTTTATCCACACCGCTGTAATGGAAGCTATCTTGTGTGGAGACACTTCAATTCCAGCATCAGATTTCAGGCAGATTTATGGAAAATTACAGAGATTGACAGAAAGACCAAAAAATCACAACTGCAAGTACAATGGGAGGTTAGTAAATATTGCTGGTATCAATGTTACTTTTAGAGACATGTTTGATGTTTGTTTTGAGGTATTAATTGAAAATGTTTATTAATCAGCAATTGCATCCATTGATCCAAGTGGCTATATGAATTGAAAGCATATATATATATATATGTATATTTATTGACACTACATTGATCATTCAACAGTCTTTTAATATAATGGGACTTTTAGTGGAAGTGCGATATATTTCCTAGGTAAAATATGTTAACCTATCTTGGGTAAACTATGTACATCTACCTCAAGTAAAATACGCACTCCTAACTAAAGTAAAATATATGTACATCTATCCAAGATAAACTATTTACATCTACCATCTGTAAAGTATGTATGCCTACCATGAATAAATGCTTTCAACACGTATCACATATCCCAGTTCAACTATATGTTCATCTATCACGGGTAAACTCTGTAAACCTATTAAAGTTAATCTATGTTGACTTACCCCAGTTAAAGTATGTACAAAATACCCGGGGTAAACAATGTACAAGTGTTCTCTTTCAAACATAATATGTGTTATCAATGGATAATCTGGAACACGTTTATTTTTTGCACATAATTATATATTTTTGGAAGATATTTCAGAAAATATGTTTTTAGGGGAATGAAATTTAAAAAAATGCATTTCACTAGCATTGGAATAATTTTTTTAAAGCTATTAAATCACCCTCAGTTTTGTGTCAACAAACAACATATAGCGCTGATTCCCACTTGCCCATTTCTATAAAACATGATAGCTGGCCCATATATACATGTAGGTTTATAATAATGGTGGCCGACATTGTGTTTTGTAGAATCTTGGCAAAGTGAGTCGTAAACCCAGAGCAGATGAATGTGAAGTAGGAAAACTGGAAGAAAATGCTGACAAGAATAGATTTCATGATATATTACCATGTAAGTACTGTCTATATTCTATACAAAGTCATTGTTAGAT